ATTTAAGTATATTGCAATAACAGAYTTCATCATCATCATAATACTCAAAATGATAATCATAATCAGTCATAATCATAATTGCAATCAAAATCATAATAGTTATCATAATCAGTTATAATCATCGTCATAATTGCAATCATAATCAYAATGAAACACAAACTTAATAAATAAGACAGAAAACCAAGTGAAAAGATTTTTAGTGTGATTTGGAACAACAGTTGTAAGAATTTATAGATAAGATACATTGTCTATTGCGTGTATTTGTAATAAATTGYGCATTATTGCCATATTGTTTGTCATTCTAAGTTTCAGTTGTTGTTTTTAGTGCACCCATGTGCAGCTTATAAGTGATAAGCAAACAGGAAAACCACGAGGTCAGTATTGTACAAACTTTTATTACAAAATATTGCTTTTGTATTAATGTGTGTGACGTTATTTTAGTGGTACTGTAGGCTGGAAAAGTCTTATATTGCTCRTTTAAGTACAGTATCTGCTTAATATGAATTCTTGCCATCCTTTATGTTATTGAGCATAGCTTAAGACTGAGCTGAACTAGCTAAAAAAATAGCATGCTATGTTGGTGAAATGTAAAATGTTTATCATATAATCATCCATGGAAAAACTAGTGGAAAAAAGCACATTCAGGCCCGGTTGATATGTTGAGCCACCTTCGCGTCAAACCAAATAGTTTGAATTTAGCACATGAACGGCTCGACGTATGAATCGATTGAGTTCGGCGCGATCATAGCAGGGCATTGGCACGGCAGAGTCAGTCGTGCTGCATGGCAAAAGCTCGACGCTGATTCAAACGTCGAGGTATCGTCGTGCCGAACTTAATTCACAAAAATATCCGTTTTCGACAATAATAATGGTGTAAATTGAATTTGCTTTCATGGATAATTATATATGACAAACAGAATATTACATGGTCGTTTGGAGATATGAATCTTATCTTCTYGTGTTGAAAATCTCTCACTTGTTTGATGTGCTCAATTGTGAGAGATCTTGTCAACACTTGAAGATAAAATCTGTATCTCTCCACGCCCACGTAATATCCTCTATTTATCACTTAAAAATGTAAAAACATGACAATTTAACTATTATTTTGTTGGGGAATTAGAAGCAGTATAATCTAACAGTATTTCTATTGAAAATGTGTATTCATGGAGAACTTGCCAGTTTATCCATGAAAAAAAAAAACAGTTTAAAAAGTCCAATGATTTGGTTGTTTAAATAATTGTTATAAAATTTAAACTTGAACTTGATTGCTCTAAATATTTCATGGATGTTTTTGCAAGTTTTCTAATRTACTTAAATATATGCTTAGTACTAACTATTATTATGATCTTATTATTTTAGATTCATCATACATAACACTGTAGATCTACTATGTGTGTTCTACAGTCTACAAATTGTTGTGTGTTTGTGTTTGTGATTGTGTTGACTCTTTTTAGGATCCTTACTTAGAATCATCCACACTTAGTAGATGTAGTATTCTTAACATTAATTTATCAACTACGTAGATCTACACAAGTCYATTCTCATAGAGAACTAATAATCTAACCTTTTTAGTTAAACTGCCATTCTTAATGCAACTAAGCTCAAAACAACTTGAGCTATTGGCCATGTTGCAATTCAGTTAGATGATTGGCCTATCCCTGAGTTACTGTTTCATTGCCAAATGTTACTACAAACTCACATACAAAGTWCTAGTTATATAAAATAACAACTTGTTGAAGTAGAGTGTTAACTGTAGTTATTGCAGTAGTTGTTGTTTGTGACGTTAACTGTACTACATGTATCTAATGTCTACTATTGGTACAACATGGCTTCTTGCAAAGCATCATGGGCATTGTGGACAACCCCCTTGTATTAGTTATTTGATATATCGTGTTGATTATGTTGCTACTTGTACCAAATACCCGCCTTCAAGTACAACATGGGTTGTAGCTCAAAGCATCATGGTTAACATGGACTACCCCCTATATTTAACTTTCTATACTATTGTATTACGGTAGGCTTTGGTTTTGTAACATTTCAAACAAAGGAAGATGTAGGAAAGGCAGTACAAGAACACTTCCATCAGATCAATGGAAAAACGGTGTAGTTAGAGTTTCTACCTTATCTGAACAGCAGAATTCTCTAATCTTACTCTTAAAATATTCACYTAAAAAAGATTAGGGGTTTTTGCTGTGTTGGCACAGTATTGTTCATTGTCCATTTCTTTTTTACCCTATATTGATTTGCACATTTTGTGGTTACATCTGTAGTAATCCTAAAATTACTTATAAAATCCATGACAATGCTGTGCCATTTATTTGTGTTGTGTTGTACATGTACCATTTGCATTGATGCATTTCAAAATAAAATGTATTAATGAAAGGGAGGGAATAATTTACTCTGTAGATGTATTTAAGGCTAGTGTTTAGAAAAGCAAGAGTAGAATTAACTTAATTAAAACTTAATTTATTTACAAATGTAGACTTATTTCTTCTAGATTACGTTTTGAAGTGCATCAATGTGTTACTGGAGAGTTCTGTTCTGAAATTCATTGATATTTATACAGGAATGTGATTTATATTTGAAAGACTGAACTCTCTTGTGTTGTCGTTTTTGTATTGTGGGCGATTGTTTTTTTTGTGTTTCACCTTATATATTCCAAATTAAATTTAGAATATAAAGAATTAAAATTTGTTTAGAACCAAGACCTATATTTTAGGAGGAATATTAGCTAACATCTAGCTACTATGTTTAATTAAGTTCACAAACTTTTATCCAAATCAGATTTACTTTAAAAGTAATTTTAGCTACCTATGACTTTGTCCTATCAACATTCTATGATGAGGCAAAGCTTTTTAGATTTTTATCTTATTTTAGAGTATGTTGGAATATATTTAGATGTGTAATGTGGTGTATCATGCTGTTGTAAATATTATGGGCTAGTCACCTCGGACTAATCAAGTGTTCTGGATTTTGATTGGTAGGTTGAAGTGAAAAAGGCAGAGCACAAGGCCAATGCCTATAAAGCTGGYGGACAAAACAATCTCCTTGCCACCCCCCCTGTGCACAGTATGCAGAACAACATGGGGAGGGGACAGTATGGACAACAAGTTTACATGTCAGGTACTAAAAGTTTTGAGTCATATTGTAACACACATATGTTATTATCAGAAAACGTTTAAGTGCAAATGAACTCTATTTTTTCCAAAGTTCATGAAAATCGTCATGGAAAAATAAAATGGTGACTTCATGGAAATCGGTTTGTTGTTTTGTGAATCATTAAAGTTAAGAAATTTTTGATAATTCCAAAATAGACGCGAACTATCATATTTTTCCGACAAGTAACTATTTCAATAGGATAGAATATTCTAGAATAAAAAAAAATAGAGTTCGTTTGAATTCAAATTCACTTTATACTGCAAAACACTCTCTACTCCACCCCCACTGATATTCTTTTTGTTAGGTCAGGTCAGTTAGGTCAGGAAAATATTTGGCTCTCGGTCATTTGTACTTCCGGCATATATGTAACCTCAAGCCAAATATTTTCACGTACGGCCCTCCCACTTAGTCAATAAGTACATATTTTTGACATTTTCTACTTGCAGGATATGGCCAGCAACCAGGAGGTATGCAAGGTATGGGTCGTGGTGGTTATAATGCATATGGTGGTTATGGAGCTGTAGGTGGTGCAGCTGGCTTTAATTATGGTGGTAAGTTAAATAGTTTTTATCACCAATTTGTTTATCATCTGGAATGAAATCAAAAATCTGGGGTGTGAAGAGTGAAGATTAAAGCAAAATGGATCCTGTAATTGGGTTCTATTCCAGAACTATATGTGAGAGCAAAGATACGGATTTTAACTTCAAGTGTTGAAAAGATCTCTCACGAGTGTCCGAGCGTAGCGAGATTTTCAACACGAGAAGATAAAGTTTGCATCTCCAAGCGACGATGTAATATTCTCTGTTTATCACATATTTATCAATGAAAGCAAATTACGTTTTAAAATTACTTTTATTTACCTCCAATATGCAACGTATAGATATACCACAAATGTGTTATTTTACACAATGGAGAAACAGAGGTATTTTAGAGATAATTATATAATAAGTTATTATAATTTTTTATATTTCAGCACCACAAGCACAAGGCTACGGTGCAGGTATGTCAATGGGTGGAGCAGCACCAGGAGCTGGTGGATACCCCCARGCAGCATACCCAAGCAACCCACAGATGTCTAGCTATGGTACAGGTGCAGGTAGAGAGCCTGCCGCACCTGGCTATGGAGCCCCAGGTGAGGAAATACAGTGGCTTCACATTTCAAATCCCTTATTATGCTCTTGTAAAAGATGACTTAGTGTCTATGCCAATAGAGTACTAAAGTGATGACGTCACAAAACAAAAATGTTTGTGTTTTTAAATTTGCCCTCCATATTCTGAAAGTGCATCCTTGCTAAATATGAGTGTCTTAGTGTCATTTGTAGCGGAGATACAAGCGATTTTATGGTAGGGTGACCACATACAAACGCTTGTAAATTTGATCTTGTTCATAACGAAAGGAACAAGACCAAATTTACAAGCGTTTGTATGTGGTCATCCGACCATAATAGAATCGATTGTATCTCCGCTATAAATGGCACTAGGACACTGAAATTTGGCAGATAGCTACTTTTTTCCATGCGCTTTAGGGATATGTCAAGGAATCCGAAAAAATTGAAAAAAAAAAACTATTTCTGTACACTTTAGTACTCTACAACCCATACATTTTCTGTCAAATTTACATTTTAAAGAATCCCAACCAACAACAATGCAGTGCACGCTTATAGTATTGTTTASACAATCATACAATAGATTACAGATTGAAAGTATCTGTGAGGTAATTAGTTTATTAGTTTAGTTAATTAGAAATCTCTGTCAAAACTAAAACGATGGAAGAGGATTTGTGCATACTTTAGGAAATCCTACAAATCTGCCATTTTCGTTTCAACCTAAAATGGCGTTTTGGCTCGCAAGGTACAGCGTTTGCAGTGTATTCATTTTGAGCTATCCCTTTTAGACCTCAAAACTCCACTAAATTACAATAGAACTTTTATTTAGGATATTCAAAAAGATTGACTTTTTTCTAGGCTATGGTAACAACTATCCAGCCCCAGGGGCAATGCCACCAGGGGCCCCTACAGCAGGGGCACAGGACTATGGCCAAGGTATGCCCCCTTCTTCCCTCTCGGGACCTGGTTCTGGGATGCCATCTCACGGCGATGGTGGGGTTGACTACACCCCCTCCTACAGTGCATATGGTAAGATAAGCCTATCTTATCATGCCTAATGCATTCGTTATTCGTCATACATGTACTCAGTAAAACCATGAAACACGAGATTCAGAATATTGTGAATACACCTACTTGCGAAAACGTTGTCATAGAAAATAGAACATTTGTATTTTGTAAAATGGAATAAATTAAGAAAGACAAAAGAAGGGCACTGAGGCTGAACGCTTTCTTTTGTCTTGTTTTAATTTATTCCCTTTTACTAAATTCAAATGTTCTATTTTCTATGACAACGTTTCTGCAAGTACATGTAGGTGTACTCCATTCAAAGCGAACAACCGCTGCTTTATTTGACAGTAGATTCTCTTGCAAAAATATCTTMCAAAACACAAAAGAAAGATCACGAATAGAGCAGCGCTCCAGTCATCTTTGTCGCGAACTTAGTACTTGTATAAATATCGAGAAATGCGGACAGTGTTAGTTAATTTGAGAAGATCACCTTCGTAATCTGAAAAAAACAACAACAAATATCACACAAATTTCAACACCATAGACCTCCTAAAAACATGCAATTTTCATTTACCAGGCAATCGAGCAAAATGGGAACAATATAAATTTTCGAGGAAAAATCTTTGTGTTTTTACGACTTTGGACTTGTTTTGACGAAGAAAGGGAGATTGGCATCCCATGATACATTGCAAACCAAGATTCAAAATGGCGGGCTTGTGATATGGACTATGTGCACTGAAACCTTTCATGAGATGCACTTGTCGCTAGTTGGCAATGGTTTCATCCATATAAAAGACTATTATATCACGTGTGCAAAAATAAATAATGTATAATATTTACTATTTTTTGTACTTTGTTCAAATTAGTAACACTTTTTCCATGCACTTTTGCTGATTTTGCCAGGATTAGGAAGCTACCAACAGCAAGACTCACAGTACGGACCTGCACGGGGTTCMTTTGGGGCTGAAGCAGGTTACTCTCCCTACCCCTCAGGGGAGTCATATGGYAATGCAGGTGGCGGAGGAGGAGCCTATGGAGCAGCTGGAGGCGGTGCCGAATCGTTTGGGCGTGGCAGTGGTGGAGCAGCAAGAGGATTTCACCCTTATGGTCGATAAATCGATCACTTACAACAACATATAAAACGCCTTTACTAAGAAATGTCAAATGCGATGAGTAACAAGACCTGATCTTTCTATATTCATCCATTACGTTGTAAAATAGGAGTCCCAGTAATATTATCCTACGTCTCTTGTAGATTTGATTGAAGTTTTAGGGCTGTTTATATGGGACTAGCCAGGAAGTACCCCAAGTTAAGGGGTGATCAGTCACTTTATGTAATATTATATATAAATATATGCTCTGAGAAATAGTTGATACCTGCCCTCATTCGATCTTTTGAACATTTTAATTTTATTGTAATGACAGTCTTTGTTTTTAAACGTTGTGCAAAGTTTCCTGACAAGTTGCTTGTTCATGCTGTATTTACATGAGTTGAGTTAGGTCATTAAAACCCAACTTTCATTATAGAACATCCTAAGAAGTTSCTCTCTGATTGGTTCAAAATCAAAATTTTTTTCGTATGTTAGAAAATTGCGCAATGGTTCTTGGATACACATGGGCCTTGAAAGCAAATCAAGGAAATATAGATTGTACTAATAGTATTTCAGGTTTTTTTGACCTAACTCCATTTTACGAAGATGTTGGAGTACACACATTGTTGATGCTAAATTATAGTTTTGAATTGTTTGATTTCTATTTTATACTGAATAGCGGTAAAATTTGCGCAGTTTAATGTTTGTGCCCTAACTTAAACCTTTCTTAATTCCATAAAACATTTTGTCAGTTGTAAAGARTCGTCAAAAACCGATGAAATAAAGGATTTTTGTTCTAATCTGATATTATTGTGTCATTGCCTGTTGTCTAKTGTGTTCTCGATTTAATGCAAAGCTTTAATACCTTRCAACAGATTTCGATGGTAACTAAAATTGAGTAACCATATATTCTAAGAGCCATTACGCGCTCCGAGCTGAAGGGTATCGTAGCCTAATTTGCAGACTATTTATGTTTAAATCAGTCCCTATTATGCACTAGTGAATTGAGACCCCAGACACCCGGGGAATACCGGGGAATTTAACGTTTGAGTGGTGTTAAAATAAGACATTTCCCCCGGTAGTCGGGGTACATTCATTGTTAAAATCCCCGCTACTGTTGCCCCGCTATTTTGGTCAAGTAGTAAATAACAAAACAAACACCTTTCAATCAAATTTTCTGTGATACACAGAATAATTTTTGCACAATCCTGTGTACTCATTTGCGCACTACATGGGTCTAACTGGACGGAGAAAAACGTGCAATAAGCGTCTYTTWWAARSMWTT